CGGGTGGGGGCCGGGGGCCGGCGTGGGGCGGGGGGCTGCCTGACGCTCTGTGCCCGCAGGCCCCGGAGCTCTCCCGGGAGGAGAAGCTGCAGCTGCGGAAGGAAAAGAAGCAGCAGAAGAAGAAGAAAAGGAGTGAGAAGGGGCCGGCGGCCGAGCCCCCGGAGCTGGGGACGCCCCCCGACCCAGGGCAGCCCCGGGGTGAGGACCCCTTCCCCCCCGAGGCCGGAGGGCCCCGCGGCAGCCCTCCCCAGCACCCCGAGCAGGGGCAGCCCCGTGGCAGGGCCCCGCGGTCGCCCGGGCTGGGAACAGCCCTGAGCCAGGAGTGTCCTCCAGTTAGGGGAGGCCACGGTGGGACCTCAGGGGAGTCCCAGCTCCCTGCACCTGAGTCCTGGCACCTCGAGTGCCTGCATCTTGTGGGGACTGAGACCTAGAGAGGCCAGTCCCCTCCCCATCTGAACGCAGGGCTGGGCTGGCGGTCCCCATGTCGGCTGCGCGGGGGTGGTGAAGTGCTGGAGAATCTGGGGCTTAGTCCCCCCTGCCCCTCCAAAGGCAGGCCCTTGCACAGAGGGTCTCCCTGCCATGGGCTGCCCCACATACTGGGCTACATCTCCTGGTGATGGAGGCTGGGCACAGACTCCCCCCTTTTGTCTCCTGTAGTAGTTGCTCACCCCGCGTCCCTCCCAGCCTTGGCCGATGGCCCCAGCGATGGCGAGAAGCCCTCAGGGGGCAAGAGCAAAGCTGAGCTTCGAGCAGAGCGGCGGGCCAAGCAGGAGGCTGAGCGGGCCCAGAAGCAGGCCAAGAAAGCGGAGCTGAGCCAGGCAGCCACAGCAGCCAAGCCCAGGCTGAGGGTGGGTGGGTGGGTGAGCAGGGAGGGAGGGGGCTGGGGCAGGCGCCTGCAGGGGCTGCCCATCCGATCCTTCAGTGGTGCCCTAGCCGCTGCCTTGTCGTGTGTTTTCTGAGTCCTGGGGCAGCGTGGCTGGGCAGGGGGCTGCACCAGGGCGATACCACCTCACACCGTCCTCCCCGCTGTCCTCACAGTGGTAAAGCGGCTGCCGGAGCACGTGCAGGTGGATGACCCTGCTGCCCAGAGGAAACTGGCCAAGAAGCTGGAGCGGCAGCAGGTAGGAGGGGGGCTGTATAACGGGCTGCATGCTACAGAGCAGCTGTGCTGTGGTGTGTGTGGTGGGGTCAGGCTGCGTGGGACTGGGGGCCTGCTCTCTGGTGTGCCACAAGTGAGTGCTGTGGTGGTGCTGGAGTGAGCAGGGCTGTATGGTGGCCTTGGGTAAGCCATCATCAACGCTGTTCGGCTACAGGTACCTCTGAGGCAGGACTATGGAACCAAGGTCAACCTGTTCTCCCACTTGCACCAGTACAGCCGGAAGAAGCCACTGACACAGCAGATGAGGTATGTGGCCTCCCCAGTCAGGCCCTTGGTAATCATTTGGCGCTGCTTCGGCCGGCCTGGCTGCAAAATGGCCCTAGAGAAGGGGTGTCCTGGTCTTGCGTGTGGGGCGGGCTTGATGGGGTGGAGGGGGACCCCTGCACTTGCTTGAGGAGCAGCAGCAGGGGCAGCTGGATGTCCTGCCTGTGGGGTGAGGAGAGCTGCCCTCGGGCAGCGCAGGGCCACAGGAGAAGTGGCTGTGGGGTTAGTCTTACTCCTCAGGGCACAGAGCAAGTAGGGGCTGGACTGACTGCTCCCTTTTTGGGCCGTCCCTCAGGTTTGGCTGGGAGCCCCGCAATGGGTTGGTTGTTCCTGGACTGTAGAGGGCCAGTGCTGACAGCTCTCTCACATTTGTCCCTGCAGCATCCCCTCCACAGTAATTCACCCAGCTGTAGTGCGCCTTGGCCTCCAGTACTCCCAGGGTATCATCAACGGCTCCAACGCCCGTTGCATTGCCCTGCTGGAAGTCTTCAAACAGGTATGTGAGCAGCTACCCATGCCCACCAGGCTGCAAGGGCATTGCACCAGGCACAGGCATCCCTTCCTGTTCCCTGACTACTGGGACTGTATCTGTGCTCAGTCATCTTCAGCCTCTTCCTTCTGATCGTGCCCAGGACTGGGCCCTGCTGGTATCCTGTTCTGGTGTTGATGCTGCAGATTTGAGTTCCTGGAGCATCCCTTTGCCCTCCCTGTGAGAGTGTGTCAAGCTGTGCAGTACACGCTTGTGCCTGGCCTGCAGCCTCCTGGGCAAGTGTGGTTGTGTGCAGTGCCTGGCCAGGAGCAGGTGCCCTGAACTCATGCTCTCTTCCTTCTTGTCTCAGCTGATCCGGGATTACTCAACTCCCCCCAACGAGGAGCTGTCACGGGACCTGGTGGCCAAGCTGAAGCCACACATCAGGTGAGGGCTCCCAGTGCCAGAGCAGAGGGACTGATGAAGCTCTGCCGAGTGTGGTCCATCGGTCACCTCTCTGGGTTGGTGTCCACCCAAATTTGGGCTGACTTTCCTGGGGCTCTGGGTTCTGCCTGCCTGCCCACCATCCCCAGCCCAGCTGCACCCTCCCTCTTCCTGTCCCTGCCCTCCAGGCTGCTCTGGAGCTAAGCCCATTTCCTCTCTGCAGCTTCCTGAACCAGTGCCGGCCCCTCTCAGCGAGCATGGGCAATGCCATTAAGTTCCTCAAGAAGGAGATTTCATGCCTACCTGACACCCTGAGAGAAGAGGAGGTGAGTGCCCTTACGCAAGCAGCGGGCTCCAGCCCTCTAGCTGCAGGCACCAGAGTGGAGGGACGGCCCTGGCGCAGGCTAAGCAGGGAGAGGTGGTGGGATGCAGGCTGGGAGCAGTGCTGCGGTGAAGCTAGAAGACTTGGCCATCAGCGTCACCAGCCATGGCCTGAGTGGGGACTGCGGCCAGACCCGCTCTCCCTCTGCCAGCAGGCGCAACCCAGCAGGACCCGAGGGGGCCGAGGTGCGCCGCAGCAAATGCTGGGTTGTTAGTGTCACTGGGCTGATAGGACTGGAGCTCGTCAGGAGCAGGGACGCAAAATGGGAGAAGCTGCAGCAGGTGCACATGGTCTCAGCAAACGCAGCACCGCGCTACAGGCCTGGCCAGCAACCAGCATTGCACCTGCATTGAGAAGTGACTCTTGAGTGGCTGGAGGACTTGCACGCTGGTCCAGCTGGTGCTGTGCACTGCAGGAAGGCCACAAAGGCCACCACAGCTGGGCACCATGAGCTGCCCTTGCCCACCAGGACTGCCTGTGAGAGCATTGTTTGGCAGCATTAGTAAAGTCACAGATGAAGAAGAATGTGTTTTTTCAGTGCTCAGCTACGTCCCCTGCAGAAAGCTCCACAGGAGCCCATTGGCTGTGGAGCAAGGGGCAGGGCGGTGGTATACGTCAGGAGGATCCTTGAGGCTGCATGGCTGGTGGGCTGAGAGGAGTCAGGCTGGAGAGTCTGAGCAGTAAAATCTCCATGGGATGACCAGAGCGACTGACCTAGGAGATGCGGGGGAGATAATGGGCAGAGCTGGGGAGGGCCTGATGGCAGCTCAAACGTGTGGTGAGGCACCGTGGTCTGATGGGAAGCTTGTGCTGGGACAGGAGTGGCCCTGTGTGTCCTGCAGAGCCCCTGTCCCAGGGGAAGGTGCCATTCGGCAAACAGGCTGGTTGGGAGCAGGGCACGGCTCTCCGCTTGCAGGCAGAGCTGAGCCTTCAGCCCTGCCAGGCTGCAAGGGACAACAGAGTGTCTGCGGTATGGCAAGGCCATGCTGTATGCAATGGCACTGTCTCCCCAGGCGAAGGAGAAGCTGCAGGACACTATTGACAAATATCTGCGGGAGAAGATTCTTTTGGCAGCTGAAGCCATTTCAAGGTCTGCCTTTGAGAAGATAAATGACAACGATGTGATCCTGGTGTATGGATGGTAAGAGGAGAGCCAGGGCAGCCAGGCCAGCGGGTGGAAAAAGGAAACGGAGCAGTTGAATGAACACGGGAAGCTCTTGCAAAAGCAGTTGTTCAAGGGTGGGAGTGAGTGTTGCCCAAGGGGGAGGGAGGGGTTGTGGCTCTGGGTCTGGCTCCAGCAACTAGAAATAAAACAAGCAGGGAGGAGGCAGTCAGGGGGTGCCAGCCAGAACTTGGCTGTGGTGGGGAGCTGGTAAATAAAGGCACAAGGGAGAAGTTTATGACCAGCAGGGCAGGACAGAACAGAACAGTGGATGTATGAGGGGGCTGGGACAGAGCAGAGCATGGCCCTGGGATCAGCACTTGCTAACTGGATGTGGATGTATTGTTAGTGCATTAGAAAAAGCAGAGCTCATTAGGACTCTTGTCCTGTCCTGGGAGATGAGCAGGCTGATGAGCTCGCATCACGAGGTGGTGACAGAGCACTTTCTACGTGGCAGCTGCCAAGGGGAATGCTAAACCGTGTCTGCAGAGCGCAGCGGATGATGTTGGCAGGCCTGGCTGCGAGCAGGCATCCCTGGAGGGCCCTGCTGTGGAGGGCTGTGTCCCACTGATGTTGTTTCCAATTTCTCTGCGTGCTGGGACAGGCTAGATGCTGGAAGCACTGGAACCCTTGGACTCATTAGAGGAACGAACAGGAAGGTCTGATCAAGTAGCCTTATACCAGCATATACTGATTAATGTAGTTGTGTTAGCGCCTCAAACTCAGTTTGTAAGTGCCCGAGTTTGCACTGCCTGCTGTTTTGACTAACCCAGACTCCCAGACCACTGGCTTGTGGGTGGCCCACAGTGGTGGGCAACACCTCGACTGGGCCAAGAAGTGCCTGACAGAGGCACTTTGCCATCAGCAAAGCCTGTACCAAAGGCTTGTCCGTGAGACTTGGCTGTTCCTGTTCAGGGCCTGGCGCTGTCCTCTCTTTGTATGTGTCCAGAGTTAAGTGTTTCAGGAAACCCAGATTCATCGCTTCTTCAATACAGGGCACTTACAGAGCAGCCATGGCTGTTGACTGGCATTTTAAACAAACTGCAGCAAAGTCAGATGTCAGGAAGCAAAAATATGGAAGCTTGTTCTTCCTTTGAGGGACTGTATCCCAGAAAGTAGAGGTGGGAAAAGGAGCCAGAGACCGCTGTGGCAAAATAACTGAGCTGTGATGTGCCTCCTGGGTGATCGGCAAAGGAAGGGGCAGGGGCAGGGGCAGGAGGCCAGTGTGGGCCTGGAGTGTTATGAGGGAAACTTGGAGAGGGTTTGGAGGGGGAGTCCCCTGCTGTGGTTGCAGACAGATGGAGGTCAGTGCTGCTTCCAGGGAGAGCTGAGATCACTTTTCCCAGGGGGTGATTGTGCAAAGACAGGGAGAGGGGGCCCTGGAAGCAAGCATAGCAGGAGGGTGTCTGGAAGGGGCAGCACTTGTAATGGCGAGGGTGGACGTCAGCTCTGCCTGGACTCGTCTAGGCAGCACTAGGCCATCAGGGTCTTGGTGGGAGCCCAACTCCCACCTCTGTTTGGGCAGGATTGTTTGGCCCAGGGACCTGCCGTGGCAGCTGGTGCCTGGCAATGCCTGCTCTGCTGCAGCTGCTGGCAGGCAGCCCAGCCAGCCCCTGCCATCGGGCGCCCATCAGGGCTGTCCCCTCGAGGAGACCCCATGCTGGCACTCAGGGAACCTCCTGCCTGGCCAACACCTGATGAATCCCACACTGGCGCCAGCACCAAGGAAAGTCTCGCACTGGGCTGTGTTTCTGGGCAATGCTGGCAGCATGCAGTGCCAGCACGGGGTGGCTGGGGCAGTCGCGTGGGCCAGGTGAGAGCCTGGCCTGGTGGGACGGGGTAGCCTCCTAACTGGTGTCTGTCAGCTCTTCCCTTGTGAACCGCACACTGTGCGATGCCCACGTGAAGAAGGGACGGGCCTTCCGTGTGATCGTGGTGGACAGCCGGCCACGGCTGGAAGGCCGGGAGACGCTGCGCCGGCTGGTGCGTAAGGGCATTCACTGCACCTATGTGATGATCAACGCCATTTCTTACGTGCTGCCTGAGGTGAGGAGCAGAGCGGGGCTGTGCCGAGGGCGGTGGCGGGCACGGGGGAGGCTGCAGCGTGATAAAAGGTGCTAACAGATCCCCGCGCTTCCCTGACAGGTGTCCAAAGTGCTGCTGGGAGCCCACGCGCTCCTGGCCAACGGCTCTGTCATGTCCCGGGTGGGGACGTCCCAGATAGCGCTGGTCTCCAAGGCCTACAACGTGCCCGTCCTGGTCTGCTGCGAGACCTACAAGTTCTGCGAGCGAGTGCAGACGGACTCGTTTGTCTCCAACGAGCTGGGTAAGGCTTCTGTCCCCTTCTTCCCACCCGGGACCTGCTCCCTCTTCCCTCTGCTGGCCAGGACAGACCGATCCGCCCGGCCGTTCCCCTTCCCGGCCGAGGGGCCACGACTCAGAGGAAGGGCGGCCGTTGGGCCTGGTAGGTAGCAGGGCAGGACGGAGAGGTGCCGTTCCTCCCCCTGATCCTGCGGGCTGCTGCTCTCTCCGCAGATGACCCCGATGACCTGATAGTGCTCCGGAAGGGCCGGGCCCAGCTGGGTGGCTGGGCAGAGAACAAGTCCTTGCGCCTCCTCAACCTGGTCTACGACGTGACGCCACCTGACCTGGTGGATCTGGTCATCACGGACTTGGGCATGATCCCCTGCACCTCGGTGCCCGTCGTCCTGCGTGTCAAGAACGTGGATCAGTAGTAGGGACAGCTGCACGGACACTAATAAACCAGGCCGCACAATACACCTTGTCTGCCTTCTGCGGCATGGCAGGAGCCCTGGAGCCCCGTGTCACCACAGGCTCAGCTGCGCCCTTTCCTCGGGCACGCTGGCGCTCCTGCCCAGCTCTGCCTGGCCCCTCTGGTCCCGCTCCAGGCTGCAGCGGGGAAGGACCTTCCCTGTCCCTGGGCCTCTCCTCTGGGACCTGAGGGACGTGGTGACGCTGTGGTGGCAGCCCCTGGCTCACGCCTCCGCTGGCTGTGGCTCTGGCAGCCCGTCGAGCTGGGCTGGTGGGGGAGAGCCCAGCACCTCTGACCCTGCAGCGCCCTGGGGGGGCCAGGGCTGCTCCCAGCACCGGCTGCTCCTGCAAGAGGGCCCTGGGGCAGGGTCCAGCCCGAGCAGAGGCTGGGGGCTCCCGCGTGGGGAAGGGGGCGTCCTCCCTCGCTCGGCAGCGTTCCCATCCCCTTCTGCTGCAGTAAAAGCGGCGCTCGTCCCAGCTCCTGGCAGGGATTGCTGTGGGCTCGCTGTGCCACCCCCGGAGCCCGCCGCTGCCGGCGCCCTCCGTGTTCACGGCTCCAGCGAGGAGCGGGGAAGGGGTGGCAGGGTGCCTGTCAGCCTGGCCTCTGCCCAGAAAGGGGTGTTTTTACACGCCCGTCTCGCCTGCCATCGCTGCCACGCGCAGTCGGGATCAGCAGCGGGGAGCCCCGCGGCCCCGGCCCCGGCCCGGAGCAGGGTGAGGAAGGCCCGGCGCTGACAGGGTTCGAGGGCTGGTGCTGAGCCGCCGAGGGAAGCGGAGCGGGTCCCTCCGTCTCCTGCGATCGGCTGCGCTGCCGGTTGCTGCCCCCGGGTGAGCTGGGAGACACGGACAGGGCGGGCGGTGCCGGGGCAGCTCCTCTCGGTACCGAAGCCTCCTTACGGCGCCGGTACCGGCGGGGCCGCTCTGGGCCCCTCGGGGGGGATGCCGATGCCCGGCCTCCGCTGCTCCTGCAGGGGCCGGGGGCGAGGGCGGGGGGGGCCGGGGCCATCG